GATTAAGGTGTCAACAAAATAACATTTTTAATTAATTAGGAATTATGTTCTTAATAATTACATGACAAGACAGTTGCTCTCATGGTTGGGACATGTGACTCAGGCCTCCATCACAACACATGCCAGCCACCACCTCCAGCTGTTCCAACTCACTTGTCCTGTAACTCGATTCTATCAGAGGGAGCGAGCTCTCATTCTATTTCACTGCGCTCATTTACACTTTTGCAATTCATCAATTACCCTTCTTGAGATCATCTTATTTAAAAATAAAATTGAAAAGCCTGCCAGGAATCAGGTTTTGCCTTGCAGTGGTTGGCTTTCAATTCCAACCCTAACAGACGAGTGTTTCCAAATAAAACAGAAGGAGAGAAAATAAGGCCCTTTCTGCTCTACTTGTTGAGATAGCTTGGTTACATAAAATTCTCCTAGTGCTAACAAGAGCTGCAGGATCCAGCTGTACAGGCTGTGGGTATAATTACGGGGAAGGTCTGCGACAGACCATGCTGCCAGTGCAGCTCCCTCTGCTAATAAAAGCTCACTTGGAAAAAAAAGTACAGCAATTTAAGATTCACAGCCTCGTGCTGCAATACCAGAGGCTGAGCGGGGATCCAGAAGGAGCTGCGAAAAAAAGATCCTGGAGGCAGTAATGTTTTAAAAAGCTTCGATTAATACATTAACACTTCTTCTTTCTGCTGCAAGTCTTTGTCTTTCCTTGTTGGTCCCAGAGTAATTGCTAATTTAATAACAGTTTGGGTTATTGCATTAGACTGGAAGTCTTACGCTGAAACACTGAAATCCATTTATTCAGCCCTGCACTGAGTACTGTTCCTATCGAGAACGATGCGGTCAGGGGTGAATTAAGCTCAAATCAATGGGATTTTAATGGCGTGATTTAGCACAGCTCTGAAAATTACACGTCCACTCTCCTATGAAGCCTGGCACTCAAATTAAGTCTAACCTTGGGACCAGAGCCAAACAACAGATTTAAAACAAGGTGTAGGTGGCTCAGTGAGTTATTTCGCTGGTGATTTTCACTTAGGCTTTGGCTGCAAGACTCATGCAGGTCAGGAGGAGTTTTGTAGTACAGTATTGATCTTTAAGCCAATGACGAATGGAGGGCCACTGTCAATCATTCAACCCCAATGCATCATCCTTCCCAGACTACAACACCGTCCTTTTAATCAATATTGCTTGGCCCCTGAGATTCTCTGCCTACTCAGAGGTATGGGTGAATTGGACCAAGCGACAGATCAAGCTACCTGTAGGCACGTTTCATGGACCAGAATTTCTTAATAAGCCCTTTCTGAAATTCTGATTAAATCTTAGCAGTCTTTCAAGGAGGCAAACAGTTTCCTGTCCCAGCCTGGGAAAAAGGCATTGCCATAATTCTCAAGAAAAGATGGCAGAGCATCTCCATTGGCACTGAGGTCTTCTCAAAGAACACACTTCAGTGCATTCCCTTAGTACACAAGATCAGCTATGCCCTAAGACAGCGGTTCCCAGCCCTGGTCCAGCAGGAACACTCTGTGTCTGGCTTTGCTCCAGCCATGGTTTTCATCACAGATTTCAAATCACAGATTTGGGATTCTAGCTTTCGGTTTGGGAAGTATTTGTAAATAGCTCTTGTGGGGCCGGATGGGAATTTATCATTGGTTTTAACCCCATACCAATAGCCATACCAGCAGCCATATCACCCTGCAACTCACAACTGGCAACCCACTGAAGCTCAGCAGGTGTGAGCCTGGTCAGTACCTGGATGGGAGACCTCCTGGGAAAAACTAAGGTTGCTGCTGGAAGAGGTGTTAGTGGGGCCAGCAGGGGGCGCTCACCCTGCGGTCCATGTGGGTCCTAATGCCCCAGTATAGTGACGGGGACACTATACTGTAAACAGGCGCCGTCCTTCGGATGAGACGTAAAACCGAGGTCCTGACTCTCTGTGGTCATTAAAAATCCCAGGGCGCTTCTCGAAAAGAGTAGGGGTGTAACCCCGGTGTCCTGGCCAAATTTCCCCCCTGGCCTTTACCCCATCATGGCCTCCTAATGATCCCCATCTATGAATTGGCTTCATCACTCTGCTCTCCTCCCCACTGAGAGCTGATGTGTGGGGAGCGTTCTGGCGCACTATGGCTGCCGTCACATCATCCAGGTGGGGCTGCACACTGGTGGTGGTGGTGGAGGGGGGTCCCCATTACCTGTAAAGCGCTTTGAGTGGAGTGTCCAGAAAAGCACTATATAAGTGTAAGCAATTATTATTATTATTATTATTATTATAATATGCGACTTCCAGACCTGCCCTCGTTCATGTGTGCTGCGTGACATGTAACGAACGCACTCCTGCAGAAGGGAGAAAACACGGGTGGTGGGCGTGCCTGACACATAGTCACTCCCACTGTGGGTGTGTCCTTCCCACCGGAGTCTGCAGATTATCAATAGATTGGATATCTAGCCAGTATTAATGGAGAGCCAGTTGATTAGGAGCTGCGCAAATTCTTGCTTCCTCTGTGCTGAAGCTGTGGGAAACAGTACCCCTGAAGTTGGGTTTTTTTTACACTCATGACTTACCAAAGGAACAAGTTAAATAAAAGTTTAAACAAGCAAGCAGGTCAATGAATTCATCAATTAGCTGGAGATTTAGAGCTCAGCTGCAATGAAAACCAGCAAGTCCAGGGCTGGGACTCACTGGCCTGTGGTATATTGAACTCCAGATCAAAGGGAATTAAACTACAGCTTTGGGATTTTGGTATTGCACTGTTATCTGTTTTACTATCATTCCAATTTATCATATGTGCATATTATAATTAATTCCAGTAATTGTACTTAATTTAAATATTTATCCTTGCCGTATAAACCCCTGTACTCCACTATGCAAATTACTATAATTATTACTATACCACGCGCTGCAATACTGGGGTGCGATTTTAAGGAGCTGTCTTACTTTGCAATGGAATAAACTGGATTTTAAATTCCTGGATAAAGACATTGGCCAAATGAATAAATAATAATAATAATAAATAATATAACAGCAGTGGAAATCTGCTCGAAGCGGTTCTGAAAACGTGAGCCATGTTTAAACATCGGTGTTTTGAAAAACAGCAAACCCAGAGAAATGAAAGGAGCAGGCAAGAGGGAGAGGGGGCCTGGCCTTTTCTGGGCCAGGGAGTTAAAAAGGAACGCTTGCCGTCTGTTTCACTTCCCTGCTCTTCGCCGTGTGTTTAACTAGCTAACTGCAGGGTTACAAATTTAGAAACGAGCGGACTTCACACACACACACACACACACAGACACACACAGTACTGCCGTGATTCTTTCATTCGCTGAGCAATGCACCCCGAGTCAGAGAGAGAGGACAGGGTGGAGTGACCAGGCCCTGGAGAGTCTTCACAGGCTCCCACGGCTCAGTGCAGTGCCACCGGAACAGGCTGAGCCGCAGACTGATAGAAAACCCCTCGCCACCATCGGCTGCTCCGCACTGGATAAAGACTCTGCATAATTGAAAAGAAACCGGCCAAAAATAACAGGGGCCTCTGTAAATACGGAGCGCGGAAACTCTCCCAGGTACATGGTGGTTATTTAAAATGACTAACTAAAGGGCATCAGGGTTCAGCGTTCTTGACCATATTTTAGTACTCATTTCACACACCTCCTTCAGAGCTGCTCCACTTTGGAATTGAGAGGTCTGGTCAATGTTTCCTCAGTTTAAGTTAGAAAAACATCCTGCTCACCCCCAGCCCCCAGTTAATTAGTGGAATACTGATGGAATGTTTAGAAGAACCATTTTCGCTTATTTCTATCTGGCATTGTGACACTTGCCTGAGGTGCCTCTCTTTTTCCAGCAGGGGTATTTCTCGGAGTAATGCAGACAAAAACCCACCACCGCAATCCTGAAAGGCTTGGGAAATGAAGCCTGACAGCTCCCCCTCCCCTCCGATCTCCACCCCCGTCTCACAGACACACACCCTACCGTCTGCAGGAGCTGCTGCAGCTCTGAAGTGGACACAGAGCGAGAGGGGGAATCGTCTGGGAGGTCAAGCAGGCATCTGATTACTTCGGGCGGAGATAGAGCACTAGGGTTGTCTCTGGAGGATTTCTCCCAACTCGGAATGCTTTCCCACTTGCTGGCAGTTTATTAATAATTTATACAGAGTCTAAAATTATCCCTTTCATCTGGAGCGCTAAACAGAAAACAACAACAGAAAACTCTCTAACAGACTGACGTATTCCCCGTGGAGGAACAAGAAAAGAAGAGAACAGCCTACTGCATTTCAGGGGCTTTTCTTTCAGTCTGGATTGCATCTCGCTTGGGTGACAGTGAATCCATGCCGCGCCACGCTGGAGAGCCATTTAATCATTAATCACCATCATCTTCTCCTTGCATGTTCAGGTGTGCATGATGGAAACGCTGGAGTTTATCAGCTAGCAACAGCAGCAGGCCTAACCACAAACTACAGGTGCACGGTGACTGCAGAGTTCCAGATCTTAAATGTTTAATTAATAACTTGGGCAAGTTTAGCAACAGAGTTGCAGCCATCTTGCTGCAGCAAAGCTGCCTTTTAAGGTAGTGCAACAGCATTATATTTCAAAATAAAATGTGCAAAATAAGCTGTCCCTCTTCATATCATCCCCCTTTGCAAACTGCATAGGACCAGATTTTTGGACCAAATAGGTTCACACCAGCATATAGCCTCTCTTAATACCAGACTCTACAACACCTCTGCCACTTCCAACAATTTGACAAGACCTGATAGAGTTTGGAAGGAGGACCGCCGTGGGCTGCATTTCAGCAGTCCCGCAGAATTGCTCCGGTTGAACTGTGCGTTTGCTGCTACGAAATGTGAAAAACCACCCCCCTGCAAGTGCCATTGCACAGACTAATGAATGCTGGCACCAGAAAACTGTTGCATTTCTAGTGGCACCTGGGTGGAAAGCACTCACACTGTGGGGATGTGAAGGCATGGCAGTCTAGGGCTTATCAACTGGCTGTGCCCCTAGAGGCCACTGACCTGTAATCCTTCTTGTTTGGCTTTTGTCCATCCCATCCATCCTTTCTTCCACTGGGAAAATCTGCAATTACAGGACTCGAGCATGAGCAAACGTCTTCAGACAAAACCCTATTGACTATTTAACTGTGTGTATTAGGAGGCTGTGCGTCTACTCTCCACAGATGGACTTCCAGTGTGTTTATAATGAAAAACCGTCATTGTGGTGATGGTGCACTGCGCTTGGCTACATAAACAACCAATTAATTTACTATTGAGTGTAAGATGCCACAATTAATATGCCATTAGACTTTAAATAAAACACACACAAAAAATCAGCTAAACTACATTTAAAATATTCATGAGCTGTGACCAAAAGTCTATTAATTATTGATACACCTTTAATTAAGTGATTCTATCAATTTCTTTTATTAGTTAATTAAAGGCTGTTTGGGGCTCTTATCTCATGCACGGATGGTTATTTGCTGTCTCAAAAAACAGATGACAAATTGGTTTATTGAATACACTGCTTTGAAAAAATCCCAGAGCTCAGCCATCTGAATCAGACGCTGTGGCATTCAGACGCCTTGTATTAAACAGTTTGGATTGGAATATATGGCTTTTGCTACCTCTGAGATATCCCCAACAACAACAGGCTTTCACTTACATATAAAGTTTGATCAGAACCTCATTGTATCCAATAATGTTTTGCATTAATGCTGATATAGTCACTGCTGTGTTTGTTAGGATCGCCCACTTTTGCGGCATGAAAATTCTCTGAGCTCCCGCACTGTATTGAGCAGCCATCACTCACAGCTCAGTGTTACTGCTCAGTGCTTCTCTGTTTGCTCAGAAACCTCCAGTATCACACAGCAGGACTAGGTGTGATGTTTTGCTAGGCTGGTAAACAAGACGTTCAACATCCAGAGGCAACAGAAGGTTTTCAACCTTAAAACAGCAGCATGAATTATTAAAGCAAGAGAAAAGAATAGGTGATCTGCACATCAAAGAAGAGTTGCACAGTTACTCTTGAGGACAACTTACACACAGGTAGAACCTTTCTAACAGTAGAAACACAGAGCTTAAACCAGGATGTACACAATCCCCGTCATCATTCACTGAACGTTTATTACTAGATCTTTTCTAAAAGACACCTATTAACAATGCAAATGTACGAATTCATATAAAAAGAAACTCTGTCTTTCCTTAAACAGATAAATAACATTCCACACCAAAGGAATCACAAGCTACATGTTCTAAATTTTCTGGTACATGTAAATGAACGCATGCATGTAGAATTGCACTACGATGTGTGTGTAAAACTATTCTGGAAGAAGTTCAGCAATTAACAGATTCCCAATGTTCCAGATAGCACCCTCCTTTATCTTTCAACTCATATAGATACTAAGAGAAGCGTCCCTCTTCACACTTGCCACCATCTGAAAAAGGGATCTGTGTGTTATGCTACTTATCTTCTTGCATGGCCAACTGCAGGCGGTCCAGCTGTAGTCAATACTCATAGGCCCTGCGTTTCTGCAGGAAGAGTGAAAGAGATGGAGTCAGAAAGCAAACGTCCTCTAAGAGTCAAGGAAGGACTAACTGGGAAGGGGGGTTGAAAATTGCTAATTGCTCCCTGGTGAGAAGCTTCTCTTTCCTTCCAAGTGGTTTTTATTTCCATTTCGTTCTCCTGCTGTTCCCATTCCTTCCTGCACAGGGGTCATTCCACCCTGCAGCTCTGAAATTATTTACAACGCGCCCAGTCCCCCTCACTGCAGAGGCTGTGTGGCCAAGGACAGGACCATGGAGGTGGTGGCAGCCAGGGGTGTCGTGTGGGAACAAAATCTGACACACGAACCCAGCGCCTGTCACCATTGTCCCCGCTGAAGTATCGACATCGGCATGGAGTTACAAGGTCACAACGGTCTGCAGTCTTCAGAGAGGTTTTGGGGCCTTGGAAGAGGAGTGATCCTTTACAATTATGAGTTAGACCTTCCTCCTCTTCCTCACTGTGGTCAGACAGTGCCCGAGCTCTGTGGGGCCATGGAGCAGACCAGTGCAAAGTCAGCATTTGAATACTACTCCAGAGCTCCTCACGCTTGCTGCTAACATTCCCAACACACAACTGTACAAACAGGAGTTCAAACCCTTAGAAACTGTTAAATGCACTAGCGGTGCGTTACACACTTGAGGTGAGTTTTCCCAAGTGCTGATACTCTACAGTCCATTCCCATCCGTGCTGGTACTTCTAGGACCACTGCAGGCCTCACTCACGGGGCTGCAGGAACTCGGAGACGAGTAACCCAGCCAACATACCTGTGGGTGACATCCCACATGAACGCAGGGAGAAACCGTGAGCCCCACAGAGACGGCAGCCCAGTCCGGAATCAAACCCAGGACCCAAGATCTGGGAGCAAGGAGCAAGTGTCACTTTGGTTGTGTTCATTCTCCAGCACAGTAGCACATAGCCAGCGAAGGACGAACGAGGACAAAACAGCCACAGTAGACATCAGATCCACTTATACAGCAGAGGCAAGGCAGGCGGAAGGCGAAGAGCAGACAAACGCCTGAAAAAGGATTTATCTTGCTCTTGGGCCTCAGCTCCCCTCGGTCTCCAGGGCAACACTGTACTGGAGCAGGGTGGGGAGGGTGGCAAGCACACGGGCCTCTGTTTCTGGCCTGCCATTGTGTGTACTTGCGGCTCCACAGGGGATATCATCAGGAGCTGACTTCAGGGCACAGGGCAGGCACAGGGAGATTAGAGGCAATCAAAACTAACAATGATAAAGCAAGCTGCACCGCAGATAAGGGTTCTCAAAGCTGATCTCCATCGTGACCCTAGCTGTGCCAAAATGGCACACTCTCACAACCAGCGCAAGGGTGGGAAGATGGTTTGGAAATGACAAAACATTCAGATAAACCCTGTGCTACACTGATGAATCGACTTTGAGGACTTCCAGACAGAAGCCCAGGCAGGATTTTATGTAAGGCTTCTACATCAAACTATGTTACCTGTGAAGTGAATACAAAGCAGAGAAAATAAACCCTTCCAGAAGTGCTCTAGGGGCCTGCAAGGCTAATTCCCTGCTGTCTGCTATCCCAAGGGAATACTTTGGCCCCTTTGTGAGCTTTTAAGCACAACAGGTCCCCTGAGTGAAGCTCCTTTAAAACAAGAGGAAGTGGTCACAGACTGTGCCAGTCTGGGAGACAAAAATAAATTGTTAATCAATAACGGTGAGCTGTAGGTAAACTACAGAACAAAAATAGAATATTTCCTCACCATTCAGAGCAGGATTGTGTTTGAGGGAGGGAACATGTTGATACATGTGTGTGAGCAAGAGGGTACAAACATATTACAGGTGCAGAGAAATACACCTAATCACTTAGGCAGAGCTGAAAGCCTGTAATCACTGCCCTGGCACATTCAACAGACAGTGCAAAGAGCCTGGATGCTTCTTTGATGCTTCTTTCCCAGGCCCACTGCTATTCTGCAACCTGAGGAACACAACGCACAGAAAAGTATCCTCAGTCAAAAGGCCTCAGAGCCTGACCCAGCACTAGTAACATGCACGAACACTTACCAGTTCTAGGTCAGGACAGCTAACAATCTGCCAATTAGAGTCAAATGAACTGAAATCCAAAATGCCCATTTGGAATATTGGGAGACTTAATATTTGGAATATTAAGTAAATCCCTTAATCAGCTTGATTACTCTCGGGCACTAAAAAGAGCTGATACCATAGAGCATCTCTTCCCTCTCAGAGAAACAAGGCAGGGACAGAGCCAAACCATGTACTTTATAGATGGGTGACCACAGTCTGGCTGCTGAAAAGCCCAACTCAAACCATGGGGGGTAGACAGAGAGAAAAGATGTTATGTAGTCACCGTGAGCCAGGAGAGACGGGGACAGATGCCACTGTCTCCCACACAAACAAAAACAACACACGTCACAGAATTTGCCATTTCCCTCTCTCGTTCTTAGAAACACGGTAAGTCCTACCAGGGGAGCCTCAGCCCCCCTACAACCCCAGAATGGTACTGCCCATCACAGCCAAGAGGCCTGATACTGGGAGACTACAGACTGCATTATTTATATTGTTGGTAATGCCATTGCTCGGTGGCTGTTATTGTTACTGCAGTTATCCTTTTATTTGTTATTTTATTACTATGACCTTATTATATCTTTTTTTTTTTACTTCAGATATCATTTTCCTTTCATTGGTACCTGTCTGTGTGCCGTTTCTCACTGGTGCGCACCTCCACTGTTTTGGCGGTACTAGAGATGTGTGTTGTGTCAATAAAGCCGCGTGGAACTGAACGGGATGAGTGAGAGAGTGAGAGAGGACGAGTGTGAGTGGGAATGGAAGGAAGAGACAAGGGAGGAAGAACGCGAGTTCGTGAGAGATTATTCCTGCTGGTGATGGATTCATTACTTCCAGTCGATTCCCGACATCAATCTGCACTGTCATGAGCCCTGGCCTTCACAGCAGCTGGGGCAGGGCAGGGCAGGGGGGTCACCATGACAAAGAGAGATGAGGAGGGTGATGGATGGGTTCGGGGCAACAGGCTGTTATCTACAGCATCTCCAATCTGCTGCTCACTTCTCACTGTGTCTCTGGAGAGCAGCTTAAGGTCAAATGCACTGAGGTGAATTTCATCTGGCACTCTGTAATACAGCACCCTTGTACGCAGTTTATTTCACCAAGACACATAGCACAGCCACTCTGACAGAAGGGTTCGTTTGAAATATGAGAACAGAACCAGCTACCCCTCTAATCTTTAAATTTATCATACAGCACCAAGTATAATATGTCTGTGAATCCTGACAGTTTTGAAGTCGGGCTTTTTGATTAGTACTGATGTCTGCGGGCCAAAACATTACAATGAGACAGTCGATTATCTCAAAACTCAGAACAGCTTTGTAGCAAATGACTAAGTAAGGTGGCGTCTTTCTTTGATCACAGAATGGACACAAGAAACAACACAGGGATGGAACATGAATTTCACTGGGAAAATTAAACAGTTCTTGAATATCAAGCCTCTTGCTCTCTGTTGCTGGCAGCTGCACAACCCGCCAGTGTGAGCTGCAAAAACGTAAGCTACCTCCTGAGATGCAATAACCTTTACTGAGACCTCATGTAGTGGAAACATCTAGGAGGCTGGTGGTGGTGTAATTCTCTGTGGAATTCGAATCAAATTCTGATCAAATGCGCAAATACAATACAGTCAACAAGGGGGACCTTTTGAAGTGTACTATTGTTCTTCACACAAATCCAGAAAGGTATGTCTCAGAACTTCAGCTGCTCATTACATGGGTACTAAGAAAAACAGGTTGTAATTATGCTGTAATTGTATGCCATGTCAAAGGGGATGTATCCTGTAATTTTCACTCTTCTTGCAGGACAGGCCCACCTACTTGACAGATTTCATTCCAGATGTAACTGGGGAGAAAATTACACACCCCGTCTCCCCTCGCAAACTTCCTCCCTCTCCCTAGACGCCCAAGTAAGAGACAGTTCCTCATTACAGCAGAAACTGCTTTGTAAACAGTACTGCCTTTTGTTGAGCAACTATCGTCTGCCGTATAAAAGAGGCGGTCATGTTTGTCGCCTCAGGTTTGCAGGGCTGAGCATGTCAATATGAAGATCTACAAACCCAATTTAGCCCCTTAAGGTCCCTGGGAGGGACACTGATTTGTGGTACAGGTATGTGCCGCATCTCACAGAACCAGAGGAGGAGTTCCCCCAATTCATACACAGTGGTTTTCCTCGTAAGACGCATAGCTTTCCTCATCCCTGTCCAACCTTGTTGCAGGAAATCGTTCTGTCTGGCTCATTCCAACTGGCCAGAACTTCTCCCTTGGCAAGCCCTGTCTGCCAGTACCCCTTCTTTCTAGCACGCAGATTCTTGTCCACTGCTCGCCGCACCACTCATCCGTCAGCCTACTAGGGCAACCCAAAGGCCCTTTTTATTAAAGCCTGAATACAGTAACAGAGTACACTTGTCACGGATCCCACTAATCAGACACAAGCCCAGACTATTTCCCCCAACCGCCGGCGCGCAACCTAATTACCCATCCGCCTCCCTTGCCCTGCAACCACTACCACTCCCGACAACCACTACTTAAGGGCTCCTCACCTGCACTCCCACGCTCAGTATTGAGTTAACCCTCATCAAGCTACCTTCTCTTCGACTCCTACATCTAAGAAGCCCACTGGCTCAGGCATTTGGCGTCTTCACCCACGCTTGCTCTTGGCCAGGAATATTGACTACGTGACTTGGCTAAGTAAACCCAGCCTCTACTCCTCTTAATCCTTGTTTTCTCTCCTCAATCTTCGCCTCCGGCCCCGCACTGGGTCCTAGCTCTTTTGGTCGTGACCAACTGTTCCTCACAGTAAGGTGCAGACTCTCTGTGCAGGCAGTACGTGTGCATCAGCCACAAAACTGGGACACCACCAAGGGCCATGGACTGCTTCCTCAGGAAAGACAGGCCAAAGAAAGAAAATCAAGGATGTCAATTAATGAACAACGTGCAAGGATTGCGATTTAATGATTGTTTGGCATGTAAATGACTTGTGATGCTATGGTGGTCTACCTGTCACAATCGGCGTCTATCACCTGCTAATCGCTCTTTGGTGACAGGCGGCCCCTGGAGACAGATTAACGTTCAGTTTTATCTGTTAATTAGACACTGAGGAAATGCGTGTCTGAAGGTAATAGCTCAGAGCTGCCTTAATTATGAGCATTATTTCCGGAGCACATACAAGCAGATCTGGTTGTGTAAGGAGATGTGCATCTGCGGTCAATACCTTTCATTTCTGTGATTAATTTCTGTTGAGCTTGCTCAAGGAACAGTTTCCTTCAGCCAGCACAGCTTCAGTAGTACATACTGTATAAGAAGAATCAAATCCTGCAAAGCCAAATTGTCTCAAATTTTAAAGAAACCAACTACAATTGGCCTTTTTTCATTGACTACGTATCTTGAATTTCAGCCTGTTTGCTAAAACTCCACCATTTAATTGTTAATCAAACCCCTCTGAGAAAGAAGAAAACCTTTTTGGAAAAAAAAAACGCAGGCCCCGTTTGATGGGCTGTGTGGCTCTAAAATCTGTTATTTTAAATAAATGTTACAACACGTTAAATAACGCTGCATAGTATCTTGATACAGAATCCCAAACAGCTGCCCACACCTGGAGGGTGCCAAATACACAATATCGGCTGTGTGTGCTGAGGTTGGGGGCTCAGATTCTTTCAGCCCAAGTGTTGTCATGCACTCCATATTTCAGCAGGCTCCTCTCTCCCGAGATAAGAGCTTTCTCAACCTTAGAGAGAAGACATGGAGCTCAAATTTTGTCTGTGATATTAAGATTAGATGAGTGTGGATGAGGAACAATTGCATGAGGTCTCTTCGCTTGTCACTTTCAAAATAGAGGAGGCAAAGTTCACCAACGTGATCAAACAAAATCCTCTCCTGAGACACAAAAGAGTGGCTCTGTATGTCTTTGTATGCAGTCTGGAAATCATACTTATCTGCTTGTATCAAGAAATAATAAGCGAAACAGAAGGAAAGGAAAAGAACACCAGAGATGAGCCTCCTTCTATTCCTAAGCCATTAATAAAGTATTCATATATCAGATGACAGTGCTTGTCCTGCTATATTAGGAAGCATTTTGCATGAGTGCAGTTTAGAGATGAGTAACAGTGTAGTGAGCTCAGTGTTTTAGTACACAGTGCAAGAGATGTTGGGAACTCACTCCACTTACAGAGAGGAGACTGTTTACAGTTGGACCTTAATACAAACCCACAACAGGACAGGAAACCCTTGAGCAATAGTTTTAGGCTGGCCACCTTAATCCTTTATGTAGTTCGGACGTTACCCTTTCTAGTGGGCCAATAAGCACTTAGGTGCATATGACTTGAAGTCCAAACCCTTTTACAAGTCCAGGAGTGCATCTTTCCAGGACTGCCTTTTCATGCCAGTGACACACAAAAAAATACTGTCACTAGAGTTGACCTAACTCTTGCACACAGTGCGTCACATGCAGGGAGTGGCAAGTAGATATTATTAGGATACACAGTATCGAAGAGGACTGGGAAGAAAATAAAGATGAATAAAAATGAAGCCAACTTGAGTAAGAAGGAGAATAATAACACAATACTAACCACCATGACACCATGCCCCCCTACCAGCCTAATCAATGCATATTTATTCAGGATGTGTTATTATGAAAGACCTACAGTAGCACACGGCCCTCCCTCACCTCGCTCTATCCCCAGGACCCAGACTGTTGCTCCTTGATCAAAGCCTCATCATTTGCAATGTTTGCTCTGTTACTTCAGTGCCTTTCAGACTGACAGCAGCACTAATTGCGAGCCATGCTGCTGGCAGAGCGGCTCGGGCTCCCCCTGACTCCCGGGTCTTTCTGGGCCGAAGCGTGGGGGAGACAGCGTGGGTCTCATTCTCTCCTCTCCGACGGGGAGGCAGGGATGTTGGCTGGCCGGGCGAACTGCTGCTTAAGCTCGGCGATAAACAGAGAGCTCTCCATTTCTGCAGTGCATCAGAAGTAAGAGAGCAGCAATATCAGGAGGAATCATATACACCTTGAAAGGAGAGCCATTACTGTACTGTTTTTCCTCTGCTGTTGCACTCTTAGAGACTGATTGAGCAGCAGGACAAGGGCATTAAGTTCTTTTCTCTAAACACATTGCTATGAGTTATGATATATTTTCTTACTGTTACTTTAAATAGGAACCGAGTTGGCTACAGGATTCACGGCTCATCTCTTATATTCTGTAAACTGTATATTGTTCAAGCTCATGAAACACCGCTACTGCCCTGTTCAGGCAGAGAGTGACGGGACGTCTGAGTCACATTTGGAGAACGGCTAAGCGCCCCATTCTTCACGATCCCCTCCCGAACCGGGGATCTGTCCCGGGAGGACACGTTGGACAAAGGAAGCAAGCGAGGGCTGGATGGCAGACGCAGAATATCACAAACGAGCTGGATCAATCCTCACGCCGCTGTCTGTGCGGCGCAGATACAATCTGCTGAAAGGTCGGCTGCTTGTGTGAGGAACCACAAAACAGCGGCTGAATAAGAAAAAAAAATGGCTCCTTGAGGTATGGGCAGTGACAGCACATCCCTGGGTACTTCCCAGTGCTTTGTGGGACATACCCAGGAGTTAAAGCAGACATGACGTGACATGAAATAGTGTGTGTGCATCTTGCATTCATGGGTAGAGCTATTCAAAGAGGAATTGTCTGGGTGTGTTGGGGGTGGATGTTTAAATCACAATGATTTTGTTTTCCTTCATTTTTGGTAGCCATTCTACAGGAACTGAAAGGGCAGCCACTCCTCTATACCATCTGAAGCCCTCTCCCCACCCCCCTTGTCTGCCACACACACAGACACGCACACAACTCTCCCCTGGAAGTCAGCGGGACAGAAAGACTTGGTCAGTCCTCATTAATTCTAATAGGAAATCAGCAGAGAAGGAAATGATATGAAATTAATGACTGTTAAGGAGTGTTTAAATTATTCAGAGGTAACAGGATTATGATAAAAGATCATCAGATTGCGCCCCCCCACCCCTCCCCTTCTCCGCTCTTTTTTTAAAGAACATTTGCTTCTTCCAAGCACTTTATCAATTTGTAACATTTTCCTGCAGGGAGGCACCTAATCGGGTTTTATTAATATGTAATTAGATATTCATGAAGAATGAGTGATGGATACAAAAGACAGGCCTCTAGCAGATGCTGTACCAGTCTGAGCTCCAGTCCTTCACTTCTGGACTTATTAGAAATTATGTCAACATAATCCTTCTTACACAGCATCAGTGGGAGACAGGGATACAAAAATTGGGGTGGAATGTCAAATCCCAATTCTTCTTACTTCTGCTCTCATATATAACTATCTATTTCCCACCTCCTGAGCTTACCTAGTGCATCTTTCTCAGTTGCCTGCCACCCCATCTTCATCCTTGCAGCAGCTCCATGGCTCATTCCTGGAGAAAGTGAGAGGGATTCGGTTAGGCTCATCCCTCTGATGAAATAGCTATTCTATCAGCTAAGCGAGTGGAATCAGACCACATGGACATTACATCTCTCTATAGTATTTATTAGCATGTGACCATACAGTACAGTATATGCAAAGATATAAGTGTGCTGGGATCAGTTCAGGGAAGAGCAACCAGATATGTTCCTGGACTCAAAGAAAAGCCCTAAACTAACAGTACAGGCTTGAGAATTGAAACTTTTTGGTCTGTAACAGAGAAGGATACAAGTCAACCCGATCCAAGTATTCATAATTCTCAATGACATCAACAAAAGTCAATCCACTGGTCTTTTTCTAAATCAAAAGCGAGCCGTGAACCAGGAGACACAAGTGGAAACTTCCTGGAAGATAACAAGTGGGATCTGAAATAAGACCCCCAGCCATGATGTTAAAATTGAGCCGCCTTCTTTTGAGAAACGGCTGGCTGAGATCCTCCCATCAATGAGCTGCTACCATCCTAGAAAGGCTGTTGAACCGCATGGCTTTCTGGTTTCTAAGGCTCCTTATATTCTTACGGATCATGAAAATGAATATGCAAGGCGGAGGACGTGGAGCACACTTCCCGGCATTCCAGAGCATTAGCAGAGGGCAGAAAGGGAGAGTCAGAGGACAGGGAGGGATTGAGGGTGGAAAGGCAAGGATAGGGATTGGAAAGGCGGGGACAGAGGACAGAAAGGGGAGGGAGAGGGGATGGAAAGGGAGGTATAGAGGACCGAAAGGCTGGGATAGAGTACGGACAGTAAGGGATAGAGCCCTGAAAGGGAGGGATCCTGTTCAAGCTCAAATACTGTTATGTACAAATACATCAATCAGGAACGTGTCTGGTGAAGCATGAAGGGTGCAATCTCAACGAGAGCTTCCAATTCCGACTGTGACAAAAGCAAGAGACGCAAGTGCTGGAAAGTGATTCATAACCCCAACTCCGCACACAACTGCGAAAGTTTGGAAGCGTGGGCCACTGGCGGAAAGAAGAAGTGAGATCGGGCTTGATGAATCTGTGATGAAACTGTTATTTTTTTATTTTTTTTTTTAGAAAACAAAATGGTTGATGAAACTTGGAAGTGGAGACGTGGCTGCTGACACCCACACAATGAAGATATCACAGAGATGGGAGAGAGGAGAACAGGGATAATTAGACACAGAGCCTGAGCAGCCATCTTTCACAACCGACTGAGTCCTGATCAAACGGCAGACTGAACTAGGAAGCGGCCTACTTTATCTGTGCACTCTCTGCATTAGGGGCTGCAAAACTTTTCTGTAGTCTGTGTCTAGCCCTGAGGCAACAGAAAGACAGCCTGTTCTACAGAAGGGCTTCGGCACACAAGCAGGCGTGGGAGGGGTTGCCAACCCTGATATTGTAAAGGCATCAAAATACCATCGTTACAGTCATGCTGAAAAAGGAGCTATGTGTTAGTGATCAGAAATCAGGAAGCGTTTATCATAGATGCAAACAAGGCCAGATGAACACACCAAGTGGACAAATGAAGAAAAAGCATTTTCCTTCCATTCCATCCAGCGTCGATTTAGAAACAAAATTCTCATTTACAGCCATGAGCTGGAGGGCTGTTTACTGGGTAGAAGTTACTGGAGCAATCGGTGTGAAATACCTCGCTTAGGGGGATAAACAGCATAACGTTTGGGAGTCAGAACCCATGATCCTGCATTCTGGAGTCCACAGCCCTGAACACTGTTCCACTCTGCAGCCACAACATGATTTCTTGGGATTCATGGAAAGAGCACAATACTGGCCAAAGAAGGAGGGTGACAATCCCGTCTGGAATCTCACTGCTTTCAGCTGGGGGCACACAACTCTGTGACAGGAAGTTACTGCTGGGCTTCAGCTCCAGGAGAGGGGAAAAAAAAAATCTTCTCTTTTGCCAGAACTGTCTAGCTGCTCAGCTGAGGTCACTGCACTGTGGAGAGAGGAACTAGTCTCCAGATCTTTTCCAAAAGCTTCACCCAAGAGCTTTCCAGCAGGGTTAGGCTGTAAGAATTCCTTCCCTAATCCAGTCACATGGCCGTCACTCAACAACACGGCCCTCTAATAGTTTCTTAGTTTAACGTGGGAGCGATCTGTTGCTGCAATTATGGAAATGACTAAATGTGTCCGCGCATATCAAGCTCCTTGCTGTATATTGTGGCAAATGCACACAGAGCCAAAGTGGGCTGGGAATGCATTCTGCAGAGAGGGCACAGTCACCGAGCAGCAAGAATATTGTTCGGATGACACAGCGAGCCACCGCCACTGTGTGAGCACTCTAATGCCTCGGTTACAGTAATTATACGTTAGCAATAATTGCCAGTTCAGCTGTCTTTCCAGTCATGTCAGCGAATGCAGCCGTGCAATAGTCATAGAAGCTCCCGGCAGACATCCAGGTTAAAAATAACATGAAACAAATAGGGAAATTAAGCCGTGCTGAACAAATAACAATAGAAAAGGAAATAATTATGCCCCTGTACGTCCTTCTGCAGAACCCTTTCAGCGCATTCTGGAAACCAAAATGTTGTTACACAATGACAGCTAAGTGGCTCATTGACTAGTAGGGGTGCAGACATGAGGGGATTTGGATTTATAATCGGCTCAATTGACGAGTGTGTCAATGTTCCAAAACCCCCAAAAAAATCAGGATGACTAATTTGGTGACGTGGCTGGCTGAATAATAATTTTATCAGGCTCCACTTAGTACGCAGTGCAGCAGCTACAGTCGATCACTTACTCATGCAAAGCCTCTCTAAACATCTTACTCCAAGACCTCATGTCCCTCCCCTGACCCTTCAAGCTGGCTGTAAAGTAGCTACAACAGCACATAAAATTCCACATGCACTTCCCATATCGAACTCTAAATGGGGTGTGGTCACTGTGCCAGCAATCCTCAGAAAAAGCATCCTTTGGCGACAGATAAATAGTTTTAAAAATGACTTAGAAAAAGGCCATAACCACTGCCAGGAAAAGTGGAGTGAAAATGGAAGGGCTTGCTTTCACTGGCATGCAATTGCACACATACCCTCTTGCACTGAGAACGACACACTGTAAGTAGCTGTTCTTTGTCCCTTTTCATGAGACACTCACAGATTTACTGCAGCACTCACTGAGGCACAGCTGAACAGGCCAGGTCTTTCCTGCAAAACAATTTTGTTTGTAACAAACTTTTTATTTGCTAACGGGGGGGGGGCATCATTATTGCTCCCATTATTCAAATGTCACCAGCAACTTGGTAGCACAGATGAGTTACCTCCTGAGACCTTTCTTAATCTGCAATTATTCGTGCTATCCAGGTTACCAGATCTGCAGCTGCTTGGATTCTACATCTGGAAGGGGATAAACCTGTGATGTGGTGGAAAATTGCTGCATTTTCAATATCTCTGGAGTAACCCTGAGTAGATTTGTGGGAGAGCGGCTTGAGAGCCACAGGCAGCTGTAACAGGCTTGGCAGGAACAGAGACAGTCTGCTCACGAGGAAGAGGCCATTATAAACTCCCCTGTAGGCAGAAGGAACCTGGATGTAGGCAAAAGGATGCAAGGATGCAAAAAGGTAAACTCCAGGAAAGTGGCTTTTCTTACTTGAATTTATATTAAGTCAAGTCAAGTGTCATTCTTCCATATTCTGCCTGTGTCACCTACCCAAAATGGCCAGATGTCTCTGTATATTACTATGTCTCTGGGCTGCACTGTGCTGAGTAAATAACAATAAATAAAACTTCCCTTTCAACAGTGAATCCCAGAGTACTGGCCAGTCAGATAAAACTTTCTGGCTCATCCTCTTGGCACTTAAGGTCAGCTGTTCCCTGCAGGTTACGGGTGTTTCGGCATCAGACACACAGGTACTGTATATACAGCACACTAAAAGCACTCACCAGCTCAGAGCTGGGAGTAAGATGTTGCATCTGTCTATGCCCATCCCGCAGCGGAAACAGTTTCTAAATTAAATAAATCTCACGCTGGAAGTTCTATGTGCATGGCTGGCGAAAGTCATAACAGTCTGATTTTTGTGTTTTTCTAGCACTTATTGCCGGAGCTGTGTCACGCTTTAACGCCTGTGTACACAAAAGAATTCATTACAGGACTCGAATACAAAACACCCCAGACACCAGAGTGCAGGAACAGTGCTGCCTGGTCTAGCAACAGGAGGGGAGAAACCAGGGGAGAAAGGAGATGCTGGGCTGCTGGGAGTGTAAACCAGTGAAACCCACTTGTGAGAGGGGCAGGAGCTCCCTGAGGTCAGGGGTCAAAGCCTAGGACCAGGGAGAGAGCTGTTCTGTCTTACCAACTGATCTTGAGACACTGAGCTTTAGTGTCTCAAGACACAGGGCACGGAAAACCATTACTATTTACCTCAAAGATACGCCTGCAATGTCACACCTCTATTTTATTAACTGTGCTCGGGCGGTTAAGGTAAAGGAGTGAAGGCCCACCTCCTTCACTGAATCTCTTCCCGCTCCCCCGAAGCAAGACACTGAACCGATCAGATAAGTCGAGGCTGTGTCTTTGAAGCAGCAGTAATTCAACAGTTGCTGAGTAATTCGTCTGCTTTTCTCTAGTTCAATCTCCCAATCTCTGGAAGCTGCTTCAGATAAAAGCATCTGCTATATATATATATCAAGAACATAAAAATAGTTACATACGAGAGGAAGCCATTCAGCCCAACCAGCAATTATTATTATTCTTATTATTCTTATTCTTATTATTCTTATTTATTAAAATTCCTTTTGAAATTCATTCAACATAGCAATTTGCAAGTAACCTAACGTAACATCCGGATAGTGTTTAAATATTTCATACATAGCTTTGTACCAGTTAAAATCCAGCCAGGTTTTCACATGCCATTTGAGGTGTGTGGATAAACTACTGCTCAGTTCTGGGGCCAAGCAGAGCTCAAAGCTCAGCGCTCAGAGTCAAAGCAGTGTGACACAACAATACTGGCTAAGGCACTGGACAGCAGGCCACTCTAT